CCAACGACATAAAGACATTACCGCACCAAATTACATATGGTAGAAATTCCAATAATATAGGCAATTCTGTTAGCAATAATGATCATCAAATGGGACTGCAAGCTCCTCTTAAAAATTTCAAGCTCCCACAATCATCATCTGGTCTGGTTGATATTATGGAGATGCCTCTTTATGAGAATTCCAAAGGCCATGACGCTACATCTGTTGGAGACATAAGTCATTCATCCCATATTCATACTACTGATTATCCCATTGGAATTGCATTTGAGCTATTGCAACCTCCTGATGGTGGACAAGAAGTTTTTAGTATTAGTAATGAAACGACAATGTTAGACTATGGGCATTTGTTTGGAAATGGTACTAGCAACATTAATGGTTCATCGAGCAACATGGGTCAACAATTCTTTCATGATGCTAACAACTCGTGGCCTCTTAATTAAATTTCTTTTCACATGTTTGGTTGATATATCTATTCGTAGCTAATAAAGAAATAGTTTTATGAGTTTATGAAGTTTATAAGATTATAAAAATAAATGAAAAAAAAATTGTAGTTTCTTACATTATTGTTTTAATTATAAATCTTATATAAATAGTAAATATTTGATAAAAGAATATTTTTGAATTATCGAATTAATCACTCTAGTTTTTATATCATGCACGATACAACAGATTCACAACTTTATAAAGATAATTTACATTCTTGTAAAAAAAATACTTATCATTTAATGAAAGATAATTTACATTCTTATAAAAGAAATACTTATCATTTAATTAAAGACTATTTTATTTATTATTTTATTAATTAATTATTTAAAGCGTAATTTATTTATTATTTTAGTAATTAGTTATGGTCATGTTACGGTAGTATTATGATATTTTTAGAAATTTAATATACTAAAATCTTTATTCGCATATAATTTGATTTTAACCAAAAGCTGAGAAAGGTATTATTGACTGTTGACATATACACGTCTTTGTAAAATATCCCCTGCGACCGAATTTATGTCGCAGATGATTCTCATACTCGCCCTATTTCTCTTTTCCTTTTTTGAACATCGCTCTACAATATTAGAGTTATATGCATCCAGTCATATTGTTTACTCTGTGTGCTTGTATGTATACATACATACATACATATATATATATATAGATAGATACACATCATTCATTTTAAAAGAACTAAAAACCTTAAAGTTACAAATTAATCAAATTTTGGTTTAACCAAAGTTGACTGTTCATTTTCTTGCAAGAAATTCTGGTATTATTTTCGGATATAGGCAAGGCTACGTTTTGTAGAAATTCTCAAATTTAGATAAATTAATTTCAGAATTTTATCATTTAAAAGAAAAATAAATTATTAGAATATAACGCAAATAAAATTTACATATAATTATAGCAAAATAATACATGCAAACTTTATAAATTGTAGTCAAATTTTAAATATATTATTATAATTCCATGCAAGATTACGTATAAAATGAAATTTAATTATTTTTTAATAATAGTTTTTATTATTTTAGTTGAACTAACTAGAGAGAAATTGCAAATGAATTGCATTAAACTTCTGATTTTTTTTTTTTACAAGATTTCCTAAATTTATGCGGTTAAATTAATTAAAAGAATTTAAATCTTTCGTGTCATATTTTTAAAAATCTGAAGTATAAATTTACACACCAACACTCAAATCTAAATAAGCATCCTTAGGAATACAGACACAGAAGGACATCCGTATAGATAAAATGGTACAAAAAGAGGAAAACCATAACATCAGGAAAAAAAACATGTACAAACTATGAGAAGCATGATCAAAAGATACTGTTAAATTGGCTAGTGAGAGAATCTTTAAGGTTTGAATAGAGGTTATAAAGCGAGTATTGGCGAAGATTCTCCACCTCGTACCACGAGTTCAGTGCAGAGAAGTGCTTGTCTGTGCCGGAGAAAGCCAACTGAATCCCAAGGCTACAGTCAACAGATCCTCCATGATTTTTACATTGCGATGTTCTGATTGCACAGTCCTGATTGTTAAGGCAGACGAAGCTAGAGCTTCCCGAACATTTAGCACACCCATCCCTTTTCCAGTATAAGTTTTGCAGCCTGCCCTTCTTAAACTCCAGGACCTGTATTCATAAGAACTTACATCAGTTTCCATGTAAATTCAAAAAATAGTACTTCGCAAAGCTGTGAGGAATTGAACCTAAGTTGGTACTTACAAGGGTAAAGCTGGTTACAGTGAAGGTATTATTTGCAACAAATGCAGGGAGAGACCTTGCAGCATACTTTCGACCAGCAAATGCAACCATATACCCACCAACATTGTCCTGAGAAGCAGTATAAAATACCTCATAGATTATAAGTCATCTGCATGTGATACAAGTACACAAAGACTATGATGCCTTGATTTGAAGATGGATATGACATCTTAAGCCTTCCAAGCATTTTATCAATTGATGCTTTTTAGATCCAGTCTAAGATTTATAATAAATGCACCCAACAATAAGCAAGTATGCAGGTGTCTTAACTTGATTTCTAGAAGTAGTATCATACCCAATCAACTAACACTTTTGAGACTATACTATAAAGTTCTTTCAAGTATTTAAGCTGAGAAGCCATTACTTATGAGTGCTATTCTTCGTCATTATGGGATACCAAATTACGGAAAATTGTGAATAGTGGGATAAATTTCTTGCAAAAAATGATTTCAGGTCTTTATCATTCAACTCCAAGAAATTGTCGGAAGTCCATTCAGTGATAGGCCGTAGTGTCTCTGGTAAAGTAAACTATTCAGTAGTCATAGGCAGATCCTAAAAAAACTATATCCTTCCTTCTAGATATGCTTCTAGGCATGTAGGCAACTTAATAACATTGATAGGAATGATGGGAATGATAGCAAAGACAAAATGCTTTTTTCTCAAGAAAGCATGGTGTGAGATAAGCAACTTCAATGCCGACACTTTCTCTCCAAAAACTATAATGAGGAGTCTCTGTCATTTTCTTTTACCAATTTCAGTCGGGGATTTTTCAGTAACATATTTCTTTTGCTATGTAATTTTCAGTAGAATCTGGGTATTCTGCTGCAGACAATTATCAAAAGTGACATACACTGTCTCCCTGCAGGTCAAGCAAATGAGCCAGCACTTCATCTATTCAAGGCAACAATTATTAAGTCAATAAGTACAGTTTTCTGTTGCTTGTTCAGGTTATGTATGTGTCTGTGGGTAATAATTTAACTACATTCCCTATTATGAGTC